GGGAACATAACTGTGGATTATTCTCTAGCTAGCATCAAATATGTTGTTTGTGGAACCTAATAAATGATAAAATTGCACAAATGCTACAATATAAGAAAGAGAACATTATATTTTCAACTTGATTAGCATGCAGTGTGAATCAGGAATGATTTCACTCACAGACACATAAATGCATACATAATATAAGAAAGTTATATCTTGCATCAAAATTCAAATATGTTGTTCGTGGGACCTAATAAATGATAAAATTGCACAAAAGTATACAGTCAGACAGATGTATGTTCAGATTCATAAACTTTTAATGCATGCTAGTTAATCATGTCAATGAAATCTACCATGATTATCTAAGATTTTACAAGACTTATTTATCTAAGATTTTACAAGACTTATTTACTTACATTCATCAACCATATCAATAAAATCTACCACGATGATGCCACCAATATCCCTCAGCCGTAACTCCCTTGAAATCTGAAAAAGTAGTTACAACCTCAGGAAATTCTTCATTGCACAGAAACACTCTACAACTCAAATAAATAGGCACTTAGATTAGATTTTATGCTTAAAACTTTCAAATATTTCAATAATCTTTGTTCTTTTTTATCCTTTCACTCTTTCCTTCTTTTCTGATGAATATAACATTCAATACAGTTATCCACCTATAACCATTAAGAAACTGTCTGACCAAATATTCTAGAGACATTTACAACCAGATTTATGGCAAGAATTTACCTAGTTCTATTACTATTAAGGGCAACTACCATCTATAATTTAAATAGAAAGAAACACTAAAAGGAAGGTRATTTCATTGCCAAATCTCACAACCTGTTGAAGCCAGTCCAAGACCTATCTTTGCTGCATACTTTGGTGCATTAGAGTCATAAAAAAGAAGGTGACTTCAGTGCTAAATCATTGTTATACTCGGGAGGATAAAGCTAGGAGCAAGATTGAGATTGCACCATCTTCAATCACTTGCCGCCATCATGAGAGACTCGGGATCTTGGGCATGAACTACCATAGTAGATCACTGCACTTGTGATTTTTCTTTCAGGTATAAGGTATGTCTTACTTGTGTTTTGGGTCCGATTTGCCGTGGTCCAAATCCCTTGTTTGATCCCATAGAGAAAAAATTGTTTCTCTTAATGAGATTTTCAGCTTTGAGCAGTTTTTATATATTGAGCTTTTGAACTTGATCCTTTGCTTGGGCTGCAAGACTTCCCCTTTCTGCTGCATTCATGGTTTTCAAACCGCCGTTGACCCAGATGGTCGAACCGTTCGGCYTGGGAACCATCCAGGCAACCGGTTCCATTTTACCCCAAACCTAGTCCCTAGCCAAAAACCATTGAATCGGTCAACGACCTGTTGACCCGGGCGGTCGATCCATCAACCCATTCGACCTGTTCAACGGTTTTTGGCCGTTTTTTATTTTCATTAAATTTTTAAAGATTTTTTGTCAGAACGGGCCATCCATTCGGACCGGATGGTCGAACTATCGACCCGGAAACCAGTGGCCAGAATAGTTCCGGTTCCGGACGTTTTTTAAAACATTGGCTGCACTATTACTTTCAGCCTTCACTATCTAAAACAAAACCTGCAATTCCTGAGAGCCCCGGTGATGTAAAAGCCAGAGAGTCAAAATTAGATTTTTTTATGTATCTTTTCTATTTTTTTGGGAAGTAGGAGTATTCTGGTCATTTTACATGTTATATGTGAGACTCAACCCATTAATTTGATTTTTCTATCACAAACTATTTTAAAAATTTTAAATCATCGGTTAAGTAGTTTGGAAGTTATTTAGGTGGCATTTGGCTCATTAGTAGATTTATGAGAATTTACTTATCCAAAGGTAACTTATTACATAAGTTACTTATCGTCAATTATAAGTTTTCTTTTTCTTTTTCCTTAGCCTGATTTACTTAAATTTACTTATCAAAGCTATTTCATAATTTGGTCTCTGAACATAATTTGCTTATCTACAATGAACCAAATGCTCCCTTTGTTTTCTCTGTGTTGGAGTATGAATAGTAAAACCATAACTTTGAGTTTTCTTAGTTTAGGAAGGATTTCGACTGACCCAGACAGTCACTCTCATGTGCATGTGCACACACACATTACAAAAACGTGATTAATGAATTTTGAATATTGTTTCTTACTTGTGTGACTTTTGGTAAGCGATTCCCAAATCCCAGAATGATTATAGGTACCCTAGTAATAATTACTAGGTTTTTCTTCTTTCTCTCACTTTTCTCTTATTTTCTCTTCCAAGTTTTTTCAGTTTAGACATTAACAGCCATCAAAGAATTGGAAAATCTACCAAATCCATCATTCAATACCAAATAAAAGACTGAATCGGTTCCAATAAGTCTTCTCTTAATTTTCTTCAGTAATCAACTTTCACACATTTTCTCTAGAGAGATAAACTTCTCTCTTGAAATCATTCTAATCAAAGCTTGGTAAAACCCAGTTTTGGTTCCGCCATCCTCCATAATCCATATTTTAGGTCTCCTTTCATCCAATGGAACGGCTTTAAAAAATTTCCACCACAAACCCAAATCTTGCATCCTCGAAAAGATAATTTCCTCAAATTTATTATCAGTCCATCCCTAGACCTACATTAATTGATATCAAAGTACCTACTCCTACATCACCCAAGTAGCCCAATTATCTAAGTAAATCTCCTCCCCGAAGAAATCACCACAAGCCACTACTGAGAAGACAAACACTGCTGTGTAACCAGAAGGTTCCAACATATTTCTTACAATAAATGCCCCTGAATTCCTCTCGGACTGAAGCCTAAAGAGACCACCAAAAGGATGAATTTTTCCTAAATAAGCATAAGCAGGGCTGATGTGTTCTGAAACATTTTTCTATTACACCCCCTTGAATCCTCACTGTCAAAGGAATCTTTCTCTTAACTCATATCTCTGTGGTCTCAAAGTATGGACTAGTTCCATTGTGTCATGAGTACAATCCCACTCTTATCCAGAGTTTCTCAGGTACATAATATTCTATTGGAAAAACTGCACAATATACTATTATTTTTCTTCTCCAACTATTTAACTATCAAAGTTGATCAAAGCAATAAAATATTTAATTCATCATTATGTTCAATTTGGAGATAGTGACCAATGAACTACATCTTCAGATACTAAATAAAAATACCATACTCATACCAAGATAACATCATTGCCAGCTGCTTTACAGGCTTAGTTGAAATTATGATGCATTGGTGTAATATGATTGTATGGACATTGACAACATCATGGTACCAGTTTAGTACAAGAAATATGAGTTAGTTCATGTCACTTTCCATGTTATGTGCAAGATTTGTGTCCTCACAAATTTGGATAAAGTCCTCCATGTACATGGTCCAATAGGAGATAGGACATACGGTATCAGGGGTAGCCCTAGTCCATGAAGTACAAGTCCATGGGGACAAGAAAGAGTACCAAGGTTAGCCCTAGTCCAATAAGGAACTCCCTTTTGAAAAATAAAGTATTTAACAGACTGCTTCAGAATACAGCATTTCAATCTGAACATTGATGCTGACACAAACATATATAGATTATATTTCACAGAATTCATTTCCCCAGCATAGTTGTCAAGGTGATGCCTAGGCGACAAGGCGCCCTTGGAGGCTTGCCTCACCTAATCGCCAAGCAGTTTTCTATAGTGTGTTAGACAAAACTTTTATATTCTTAATTTTTTGAGGTTATAATTTTAAAATAACAATTTTAAACTAAAATATTCATTTTGTGTGTTTATATACTAATTTCTTTTTATTATTTTCTTATTTGTTAGGATTTAATCAACACAAACATTGCTAAATGCTGTATTGAACCCTGAAAGACTTCAAAACCTGAACCAATAAGTAAGGAAGAACTTAAAATGTTGTCTAACCAACACATTTACTTCTTTTTCTATACTAATTTTGTGTGTCTATACTATATACCAATTTTCTTCTTCCACCTTTTCTTTTCTTCTTTTCCTATAACAGAAATAGGGGTTCAGCCCTTATATTTTTTTGAAATTTCTTTTCTTTCTTTTTTTCTCATGAGTATGTTGGAATATGTTGATTTTCTATACTTTAATATGAAGTTTAGACTTTTCTCATGAAAATTATGGATAATTATTAAGGAAATATGATTATGGAACCTAGGGAACTACCCTAGGATACATATTTATACTTGAAAAAATCCATCGCCTAGGTGATGAGGCGACAAGGCACCCCCTTGTCGCCTAGCCTCGCCTTGGCGCCTTGAAAACTATGTTCCCCAGTATCTTACATGTAAGTCTAAGGAAATAACCAAAATTTGGCTTCTAACATACTTGTTTTGCAGCTGCAAGGTTAACCTCAAGAATAGCTTTCTCTTGTGAAGTCCCTTGACCAAGCATCCCATGTCCTCCATTCACATCAATAGAGACTAAAGCCTCTGTTTGTTCAATCACAAGAGAACCTCCATTAGCAAGTAGGACCCTGCAAAGTGAGAAAATAGTAAGCATCATATTAGTTGGCAATCAAAGCTGTAAAGTAGAGTAAAAACAGCAAAGGAAAAGGGGGCAAGAAAGGTTCTGTAGCAAGCTTTCTGGATTTTGTTTTTGTCACTCTTTGGTTCTGTATTATTTCTACTCCAAACCTTAGTATCAATCTTTTTCTCTCTCAATAATATGCTATGATACCCAGATACCTGTATCATGTCAGAACCTTCAATAAGTTTTGTACCTGATACTGCATCCAGTTGTATCCTTGCCATATCTGGGTAACATGGATAATATGCCTTTTTTCTATTGCTGACCAAAAGAAAAGATCTAAGCACCCTCACCACCTTACACTTTATCCTGCAACCCCCATTTCCTTGTATGAGGGTCTTTAATCTTTTATCACAAAAGCTAATAATGAGGCAGTTCAAGCCCTTCCCATAAAACTAGCATCTAATTTACACATGTTGATTAGTGATTTGTAAGCTTTAGTATTAACAACTGTACCTTTTACTGAGAATGTTATTGATCTCTTCTTCAATGCCATATTCGTCAAAAATGGGAATTCTCTTATTATATAATTCAACTCGATCACAGAGATCAGGTGCCATTTCCTGAAGATAAGTGGTAACCTGAAAAAGAGATGATTAAAAAGTAAAACATAATCAACAATCATAAAAGAAATTTAGTTAAATTCATCAAATTTAAAAAAAAATGGTTATCATCCTCAGTTCCCAATCATGGTCAAAATGCAGAAAGTACTAAACTGTATAAAATGATTGACCAAAATAGCAGAAAGAATAAATTTTTTATCAGTAAGAACAAATTCAGTAAGGAAAAGGCACAATCAGGGAATCTCATCCCAATCCCTACACAGGAAATATGCCCGGATTAGCATGCCCCCCATGAATGAATGATGAAAACAGATGGAGAAAACAGCAAAGAATAGCTTTTTTATTGTAAATGGTAACAGCAAAGAACTTATCAGGAATAGATGGATCCCTAGAGAACTAAATTCTGTAGCTGATGGTCTAGCAAAATCAGGGGTTCATTGGGATTCTTTGTTTAGTGACTGAATGTTACCCTTGTAATATCATTGGAGACTCATTGCTTGCAGGTGTACATCTCCTCGTGTACCCTGTGTTTTATCTTTACTTTCTTCAAAAAAAAAAGAAAAGAAAAAACAGCAAAGAACTTATCAGAAACATAAAAAACAAAACAGAAAAAAAAAATCTCTTGAAAACTGCATCCATTTCTCTAGAAAGTTTTCCCCCTTTGTATAGCAGCTTGTTATACTTGTTTTGGTTTTTTCCAATGAAATTATACTTTACTTTCTCTCAAGAAAAAATTATCTAGAAAGTTTTTGTTCTCTTTTCCAACTTCACATTGAAATACAACTCAAACCAACTCAACTCAGTCTTAATGACTTAATCCTAATTATTAACGAATTCTACCATACCATTATTGATCTTCCAGCAATAGAATATAAATCTTTCCTAACCACCAAAAAAGGACCAAGAAATCTAATATTTATATTTCTCTAAGTATTAATGAACAGCATGAGCAGGTTGATAAAAGGGTATTGCATTCTTATAGGAAACTAAAAAAGATAAGTTGATACAATGGATATGATATTCATTAAAGCCATTTGAAAATAAGAAATAAGAAGTGGTCAGCTCTTCGTTCTACTGGGGCGCATAATAACCACACATGCAGGGGGGGGGGGAATGAGGAACTTTTCTAACTCCAACAAAGACGATGATTTCATTTGACTCATTAAGGGTGCGGTGGTTTGTTGGGTGGGGTGTTGCCCTCAAATAAATTTAAAGGAACCTCCTTTGAAGACCTTAAAAGAAATATGTCCAAGTCTTTAATCCTCTCTCCCTGTTGGATGGTTCTTGGTTGATCTAGACTCTATAGGCAGTTTTGCATGGACACCCACTTTGATGGGGATTGCAAGTCAACTCATGCCCGACTCTCCAAAATAGGTGTACAACTTAGCTACAGTATGAACCAAGCAGATAAACCAAAATTCCCATTGTGTCTACTCTCCAAAATTACAAATCCTCACGTTAAATGCCTCTATGTAACAGTGGTTTAACCATTTAAACTGTCTAATTTGCATAACTTATGATCCACTGTTAATTGGATTTTCTCCAATTAACATTGAAATTGGGAAAACAATGAAAAACAATTAGTGTGGCCACATAGAAGATAGGCAAAGGCTGTGAGTTTAACTTGTGAATTATAAATTATAAATCAACTAGTTAAATTGTTATGCTTATATGGTTCTATGAATTTTAAGAGTAAGATAAAAATCATAAACTTTTTGAAAAGGTAAAATATTTTATTGACTGTATCAGGTATGAACCCCATTATCTTTTTCACTGTCATCTCCTCTGAGGATGCTTTCTTTTCAAAAACCCTAGCATTTCCTTCTTTCCATATACTCCAAAAAAAAAGCTACAGGGATAATGTTCCATACMACCTTACCTACTTTTCTTAGCCCCTTCAAGTTCCAGCCTTTTATGAAGTCCATGACTATTGCTGGGAAACAAGTTTCTTACTGCAATCAGCCTGAGCACCTTCA